ACACTAACAATGAAAAATCCCAAAAGGAAATTAAGAAAACAATTCCCTTTACAATAGCACCAAAAAGAATAAAATGCAGAGAATAAATTAAGCCAAGGATATGAAAGGCTTGTACACTGCAAACTACAAAACATTGCTGAAAGGAGTTAAAGAAGACAAATAAAAACATCCATGTTCATGGACTGCAAGACTTATTACTGTTAAGAAGACAATACTACCCAAAGTAACCTACAGATTCAATGCAATCCCTATCAAAATCCCAATGCAATTTTAGCAGACATAGAAAACTCCATCCTAAAATTCATATGGAATCTCAAGGGACCCTAAATAGCTGAAACAATCTTGAAAATGATGAGCAAGTTGGAGGACTCGCACTTCCTGATTTCAAAACTTCCTACAAAACTACAGTAATAAAAACTGTGTGTTCTTGGCATAAAGACAGACACATAAACTAATTGAACAGATAGCCCATAAATTCTTACACATATGGCCAAATGCTTTTTTTTTTTTTTTTTTAACAAAGGTTCCAGGACCATTCAATGGAGAAAGGACAGGCTTTTCCACAAATGGTGCCTGGAAAACCAGATACCCACATGCAAAAAAAGGAAGTGGGACCTCTACCTAATATTATAGATAAAAATTAACCCGAAATGAATCAAAGACTTAAATGAAAGAGCTAAAACTATAAAATACTCAGAAGGAAACAAACTGGAAAACTTTATGACATTGGATTTAGCAATGAGTTCTTGTTCATGACACCAAAAGCACAGGTAAAAGAAAAAATAAATTGTAGTATATCAAAATTTAAAACTTCAGAGTATCAAAGGAAATGATACCGTTAAAAAAACCTACAGAAGCTGGGCTTGGTGGCTCAGCCTGTAATCCCGCACCTTGGGAGGCTGAGGTGAATGGATTGCCTGAGTCCATGGGTTTGAGACCCGCCTGGACAACTTGGTGAGACCTCATCTCTACAATAAATAAAAAAATTAGCCAGGCGTGGTAGCGCACGCCTGTAGTTCCAGCTACTTGGAAGACTGAGGCGAAAGGATCGCTGGAGCCCAGCAGGTCGAGGGTGCAGTGGCCACTCGGCCATGAGCGGCCACTGCACTCCAGTCTGGGTGACAGAGTGAGACTCCAACTCAAAAAAAAAAAAGCCTACAGAATAAGAGATAATATTTTCAAATCTTATATCTGATAAAGGATTAATATCCAGAATACATAAAGAACTCCTACAACTCAACAACAAAAAACTCAATTAAAAATGAACAGAGGGCTGGGCATGGTGGCTCACGCCTTTAATCCCAGCCCTTTGAGAGGCTGAGGCAAGAGGACTGCTTAAGATGAAGAATTTGAGTCCAGTCTGTACAACATAACAAGACCTCATCTCTCAAAAAAAACCAAAATAATTAACCAGGTATGGTGGCATGCACTTATAATACCAGCTACTCAGGAAGAATCGCCTGGTGGAAGAAGCACCTGAGCTCAAGAGGTCAAGGATGTGGTGAGCCATGATCATGCTGGTGTGGTGGCTCATGCCTGTAATCCCAGCAGTTTGGGAGGCCAAGGCAGGAGAATCACTTGAACCCAGGAATTCAAGACCAAACTGGGCAACATAGAAAGACCCTATCTCTATTAAAAAAAGATAAAAGACTTCGAAAGAAGATATAAATGGCCCAAAAGTACATCAAACACACCAATCATTAGGAAAATGCAAATCAAAACCACAATGAGATACCATTCCACATACATTAGATAAGCTATTATAAAAAAAACTGAAAATATTAAGTGTTGTAACTCTTGTATATTGCTGATGGGAAAGTAAAATGGCACAGCAACCTTGGAAAACAGTATAGTAGTTCAGCCTTAAAAAGGAATGAAATTGTAACACATGCTACTCTGTTTCATTGAGACACATGAAACTCTGAAAACATTACAGAAAGTAAAATAAGCCTGATCCAAGGATAAATACTGTATGATTCTGTTATATGAGATACATAGAAGAAACAAATTAACAGACACAAAAAGTATAATAGAGGTCACCAGGGGTTGGGGGAAGGGGAAGGTGAAGAATTACCTTTCAATGGGCATAGAGTTTCTGTCTGAAATGAAAAAGTTCTGGAAATGTAGAGTGGAAATGGTTGCACACCAATGTGAATATACTTAATGCCACCAATGGGTACATTGTAAAATAATTAAAATGGTAAATTTGTTAGGCGTGGTGGCTCATGCCTGTAATCCCAGCCCTCTGGGAGGTGGAGGCGAGAGGACTGCCTGAGACTAGGGGTTCAAGACAAGCCTAGGCAACTTGGCAAGACCTCGCCTCTATGATAAATCAAAAAATTTTGACAGACATAGTAGCACATGCCTGTAGTCCCAGTTACTTGGAAGGTTGAGGCAGAAGGATCACCTGAACCCAGTAGTCTAGTTGAGGCTGCGGTAGCCTAAGTGTGCCACTGCACTCCAGCCTGGGCAACAGAGTGAGACTCAAACTCAAAAAATAAAAAATAAAATAAAATGGTAAATTTCAGTTATGTACATTTTACCACAAAAAAATACTCAAAAAAATTTAAAACATCTGTTTATCAAAAAACAGCATTAAGAAAATGAATACACAAGTCACAGGCTGGGAGAAAATATTCATAACACACAAATTTGACACGACTTAGATCCAGAATACACAAATAATTCCTACAACTTAATAAAAAGACAGATCAATTTTTTTAAATTGTCAAAGACTCGGATAAATACTTTATAAAAGAAGAAATACAAATAGCCTAAGAAATACAATAAGCACATAAGAAAGGCTCAATATCATTAGTTATCATAGAAATATATATTAAAACCACAACAATATAACATTATGCCCCATTAGAATAGCTAAAATTAAAAAAAAACCTGACAATATCAAATGCTGACAAAGATGTGGAGCAATCAGAACTTTATACTTTGCTGGAGGGAGTATAAAATCATCACTTTAGAAAACGGTATGACATTTTTAAATAGTTAAACATACATCTACTGTGTGATCCAGAATTTCCCACTCTTGGGTATTTATATGAGGGAAATTAAAACATGTGTCCACCAAAAGCTTTGTACAAGACTATTTGTAGCAGCTTTATTCATAACAGCCCCAAACTAGAACTGTCTCAAGTGGCCTACAACAGAAGAACATTCATATAACAGAATGCTACTCAGCAATAAAAAGAAACAAACTAACACAATGAATGAATTTCAAACACATTATGATGGGGAAAAAAAAAAAATCCCAGACACAATAGCGTATGTACCCTGTGATTTCATTTATGCAAAGTTCCAGAACAGGCAAAACTAACCTGCAGTGATAAAAATCAGAAGAGAGGTTACTTTGGGGTTGACTGAGTAGGGGCACAAAGAAATTTTCTGATGTGACGGAAATTTTTTATCTTAATGGGGATGTAGGCTATATAAAAACATGAATTTGTCAAAACTGACTAAAGTATATACACTTAAGGCCTACATTTCACTTACAGAATTATATCTCAATTTTTTAATTTAATTTTTTTTTTGAGTCAGAGTTTCACTCCACCACCCAGGCTGGAGTGCAGTGGCATGCTCACAGCTACCCCAGTGTCGACCTGCTGGGCTCAGGCAACCCTTCCGCTTCAGCCTTCCAAGTAGCCAGCTCTACAGGTACATGCTACCACACGCAGCTAATTCTTTGATTTATTGTAGAGACAAGGTCTCACCATGTTGCCCAGGCTAATCTTGACCCTGTGGGCTCAGGCAATCCTCTCACTTCGGCCTCCCAAAGTGCTGGGATTATAGGCTTGAGGCACTGCACATGACTTAAAATTTTTTTTTTTTGGTTTTAGAGTGCTAAACACTCGTGCTGTCAGAAGCACTGAAAAGAAGTCCATTTCTGCTATGCATCCACGCACAGTATTCAGTCAAAAGAATTGTTCCATAGCCAAGAAGGGTTACAAAGCCTTAGCTAGGGCAGGTTCCTGGGTCTGTTTCCTCATTTGTTTTGTTTTTTGTTTTTGAGTTGGAGTCTCACTCTGTTACCCAGACTGGAGTGCAGTGACCGCTCCCGGCCACTGCAGCCTCAACCTGCTGGGCTCCAGCAATCCTTCCGCCTCAGCCTTCCAAGTAGCTGGAACTACAGGCACGTGCTACCATGCCCAGCTAATTTTTGATTTATTATAGAGATGAGGTCTCGCCAAGTTCCCCAGGCGGGTCTTGAACCCCGCGGGCTCAGGCAATCCACTCACCTCGGCCTTCCAAAGCGCTGGGAATACAGGCTGAGCCACCGAACCCAGCCCTGTTTCCTCATTTGTAACATGCTGAAGTTTAGAGTCTGCTCCACCTTGATGCCTAGCATTACTATCAAGGTGAGACAGCTTATGCAGCAGCACTGTTTAATCCCCCCAAGAGAGCACTTTCTATTGATTCATGGCTACTATATAACCCTCCAACCTACTTCCAAAAACTTTTTCCTAAGGCGTGCTGCTGACAGAACTGAACCAAATGCCACAACTTTAAATTATTAGCCCTAACAGGGAGTGGGGAAAACAATGAAAGGAGGGAAAGAAAGCATTCAGATCACCATGTGGGGAACTCATGAACTGGCACTTCCAAAGCATGCTGTACACTTGCTTTCCCATCCCTCTCCTGCCTCCAGACTTCACAACGCAACCACCAGGAACGGTCTTTTACAAACAGCAGTAATTAAAAGGAAATTACTCACTCTCTGTCAGTTTTCACTGTCATATTCAGGGCTCCAGTAGGCAGGCCTGAACCAGCCAGGCACCTACCTGTCACCCTTGGGATAGGGCATGGCAGCAGGACAGGGGTCCCTGAGGTAACCAAAGACCCAGGGAGCCCTGGAACCAGCAGACCAAAACCAGTTACCAATCTGTCCAGTAGACAAAGTGATACCAAGAGCCAGTCATTCAGTCCTTCACTCTCTGGTCTTCCTTAATACCTCAGTGGTGCCAGCAAAAAACAGCTGGTTGGCTTACCTCTCATTGGACCGTATCATGTAGTCAGTAAATTCATGGTCTCCCTTGATCACCTCCAAGGGGACCACTAGGTTGACATCGGATTCGGTGTTCCGCAGCTGGTTGAGTTTCATATTCACTGAGAAGAGGTACTCCCGAACATCATCTATGCCCACTTTCAGGCCCTTGCACACCACATACCTGTCAGGAGACACCCTGTCACTCCACTGAGCAAGGGCTTCTTCCTCACACATTCTTTTCCCCTCAACCCCTTGCAGACTCTCAAAACTAAATTGCCTCCTTGTTCAACCTTAAGTCTAAGCATCAAGAATAGTATAGACCCATTATGTCACGAAAATTTACCTCGAATCCTTCCCTGTTTGGCTTATTTCTACTCTGTAGCAGTGGTTCCTAACTGCCCTGTGCCAGATGGGCTGCATCGCCATCACCTGAGGAGTCTGTTAAATTACAGACCGAATGAATCAGACTCCCCAAGGATAGGGCCCAGAAATATGTATTTCTAACAAGCCACCTGGCATTTCTGATTAGATGTGTTTTTTCTCACCTCTCGTGTGGCTCTGTGTTCCACCTGGGACACCAGCAGTGCCTCTGAATAGTGGCCCCCTTTCCTCTTCCCATCCCATGCCCCTCTATTGCTGGTCATGGTCACCCTCTCCTTGGCCAAGTTAAAGATCCCCCGCATAAGTGCAGAGAACAAGGCTTGTGGAGAAAGAGGCAGAGGTTGAACTGGTACATCACAGGACAAAAAGATCCAAGAATCCTGACTCCTACTGGCTCCAATCACTTCCTTAAAGTCAAGATTTTTAACATAGCTTGAGAGGTCATGCCAGAGAGATGCACCACAATTTGCTGTTCTGATGCTAAGCCAATAGTCTGGTTAACAAAGAGAGAAAGGCTTCACCTTTCTGAGTTGGCAGGACGGCTGGTAATGGGCTTGAAGAGACACACTCGCTCAAAGCAGCAGTATAGCAGGTAGATAAGCCCCACACTGAATGGTGTGAACAGGTCAAAGGTTTTACAGATGAAGTGGCCTCCTGGATTAGACATAAAACACCAAAAGCAGTCAGTGGAGCTATTTCAGGAAATGGGGGAGGCCGTCTCAGGAAGTGAATATAACAAAGTTTTGGATCCAATACCTGGGACCAATAAAAGTCAGACACAATGTAAGGGGGAAAATCAGCTTTAGAGGGGACTCCGAGGATTCTACAGCCCTTTCTTCCCTACATTCCTCATTTAGCTACCTGTCATCTAATATAAGCATATGTTTTTAACTTCCTAGCCAACTCCTATACATGCTTTTGTCCAGTAGGGCCTCTAGTGGGTCCCAGGGTGAGAAGACAGCTGAGGAAGTGTCACCTGTCCGGACAATGGACAGCGCCATGAGGAACTGACACAGCAGCAGTTGCTTGCTGAGGATCTCCTGTAGATTCTCCTGCCCCTCCACTGAGAAACCCTGAAACAAGAGCACAAGGATTGGGGTGGGAAAGAGAAATGAGAAGAACATCCCTACCTCATCTCCATGGAGAGTTCCTGCAGTGCTTTCATTATCTCCACCATCTGACTGACAAAGATGCAACTCAGCATTATTTGACAAGGTCACATGGCTCCTTACAGATGGACTGAGCAGTAGGACCCAGGCCTAACTATTGGACCAGTTCTACTCTCCTGCTCTATCACTCCCAGGGGATGGAACCAAGTCTGCTTCTCCAAGGAGATGGTCCAGAAAATTTTAAACTCATGTGGGAATCTGGGGAAAAGTAAGGTAGAACAGAGGCAAAATACTGGCTAATCACAGGTCAACACAAGAGAGAAAACAGAATGCTCTGGTGAGTCCCAACAGGATCAGGGAGTAAATGCAGTGGAACATTCTGCTTGGGCTCGCCAAGCCACTGTGCTGACTGCTAGACAGGCCCAAGGTCTGGTGACAGGAGAAAAGTTAACTCTGAAAATCACAGCAATCTCTCTGTTGACCAAGGATTTATTTATGATATCCCTTTTACTGTACTAAGACCATTGTGATTCTTCCCTCTAGCAGGCAGACACTCTGGTCAGAGTGTTTTTTACTTTACTTTTCTTTTTTTTTTTGAGTTGGAGTCTCACTCTGTCGCCCAGGCTGAATGCAGTGGTACAATCATGGCTCGCCGCAGCCTCAACCTCCTTCCACTTCAGCCTTCCCAGTAGCTGGGACCACAGGCTTGTGCCACCACACCTAGCTAATTTTTTTATCTGTGTAGAGACAAGGTCTTGCTATGTTGCCCAGATTGGTCTTGAATTCCTGGGCTCAAGCAATCCTCCTGCTTCAGCCTCCCAAAGTACTGAGATTACAGGCGTGCCCAGCCTCAGGTTATTTTTTCAAAGAATGTCTGCTACTATTTCTAAGTGGTCTCCTCCTTGTAGGATCGTAGTAGGAAGCCGAGTCAAGTTTACATAAAAGTAAAAGAGGCTAAAGGATGAGGGGACGCAGGAGATACGGAATGGGTACAGTTTTACAAAATGAAAAAGTTCTGAAAACTTACTGCACAACAGTGTGAATATACTTAATACTACTGAAGTATTTTGATGGTACACTTAAAAATGATTACATGATCAAATTTATGGGTTTTTTTTATAATTTAAAAAAAGAGAAGGCTGCCTCCATTAAACTGGCCCCAGTCAGGCAAAGTCTTCCTGAATCAACCCTATAAAAGTAATAGCTGCCGGGCTCAGTGGCTCAGCCTGCAATCCCACGCCTTGGAAGGCCGGGGTGAGTGAATTGCTTGAGCCTGCGGGTTTGAGACCTGCCTGGGCAACTTGGTGAGACCTCTTCTCTACAATAAATCAAAAAATTAGCCGGGCGTGGTACGCGCGCCTATAGTTCCAGCTACTTGGAAAGCTGAGGCGGAAGGATTGCCAGAGCCCAGCAGGTCGAGGCTGCGGTGGCCGGGAGCAGCCACTGCACTCCAGTCTGGGCGGCAGAGTGAGATTCCAACTCAAAAAAAAAAAAAAAAGTAAGAGCTAAGGTCAGACACAATGACCCACATCTGAAATCTTAACACTTGGGAGGCCAAGATGACACAATTGCTTGAGTTTGGGAGTTTGAGACTAGCATAGACACCACAGCAAGACCTCATCTCTACAAAAAAAAAATTAAAACATTAGCCGGCCGTAGTGGCATGTGCCTGTAGTCCCAGCCACTCAGAAGGCTGAGATGGAAGGATCGCCCAAGCCCAGGAGGTACAGGCTGTGGTGAGCTGTAATTATGCCACTGGCGACAGCCTGGGAAACAGAGTGAGACACTGACTCAAAAAATAAATAAATAAATAAATAAATAATAAAAAACTCAAAATCAAAAATGTTTAGCAATGTCTTCCAGATTTATAGAGGCTTCTCAAAATGCATGCCTGATTATAGGACCAATTTTTTTAAAAAGCCCAGATCACCCCTCTACACTGGTGAAGCAGAAAGACAATCCTTGCATTTATAACTCTAGCTGACACACTGCAACAGCAGCCTCACAAGCACTATCAGACCCCCACATCTGCTCAGCCTGAGCAGCCCCTCCCTCACAGCCGGCCTGAAGTCTGTCATCTTGTTGTTCCCTGCTGTGCACAGTGCTTTGGTGAGCCTGGGCACCTTTGAAGCCCATGCTGACATCCTGCCTTACTTTCCACACAGCTACTGCTTGAAAGGCCACCAAAGAGCTCCAGAAGCTTTTTTCAACTCTAACTATATGTCTCTGGGGCAACTGCCACACTGTCTGTCCTTCCTACAGGGTAAGTGGTGGTCATTCCAGAAAGAACTACCTTCAGTGTCAGATTATTGGGCGAAAACTTTCCTTAACACATCTCACAGCCAACCAAGGCCCTTTAACACAGTGAGCAAAGAAGTTCCACCTTGCTCCAGGCAAAGGTGTCCACAACATCACAGTCTTTACAAAATTATCACAGAAAATAGGTACAAAAGAAAAGCACATTCCCTATGATCTGAATAGTGAACTACCATCTTCAGGGGCAGCTAAGGACCAAACAAACGAAAAACAATTATCAAACCCCTAAAATAACAAATCCTTAGTGCATCACTTTATAGAGATAAGGTCACCTACCCCATCAGCCATCAGAAAGTGGACACCCTTGCGATCTGTGTTATCCAGGACAAAATTCCGAAAAGCAGTGATGTTCTCTGGGCGGGTGATATCTCCATCTCCATCAATCCCACCCTCACCTGGCAGGACACAAAAACAACATTGAGATCATCTGCCCTACACATGCCAGAAGCCAGGACATGAGCTCTCTGAGACAGTGAACACAGGTATCAGGTGAGTCTCAAGAACTGGGGTCCATCCTGCGAGGCTGCCTTACTTACAGTGATGAATCAGAAGGAAAAAACAGTGTCTGCTATAATAAGCCAGACTCCAAAAGGAACTGTCCAGCAAAGAGTCATCAACTAAAACAGAAGCCCTTTCTCTTCAAAACCTAAGTTGTGGGCCATTGACTTCCTAGACTCTGGTGTGGCCATATGCTCTTTGAGGTATGGCCGTCATCATGTTTCCTGGCTTTGGCCCCCTTCCCTGCCTTGGGGAGGTGAATCTCCCTCTCTCTCTCTAATTTACTTTTTAAATAAACTATATTTTCTAACCTAAAAAAAAAGACATGTTGTATTTAAAGCACCTACATTTAAGAATCAGTATCAGCCAGGTGTAGTGACTCACACCTGTAATCCCAGCACTTTGGGAGGCCGAGGCGAGAGGATTGCCTGAGCCCACGGGTATGAGACCAGCCTGGGCAACATGGCAAGACTTTGTCTCTACAATAAACCATAAAAATTAGCCGGGTGGCCGGGCTCGGTGGCTCAGCCTGTAATCCCGCGCCTTTGGGAGGCTGAGGTGAGTGGATTGCCTGAGCCCGCGGGTTTAAGACCCGCCTGGGCAGCGAGACCTCATCTCTACAATAAATCAAAAAATCAGCCGGGCGTGGTAGCGCATGCCTGTAATTCCAGCTACTCGGAAGGCTGAGGCGGAAGGATAGCCAGAGCCCAGCAGGTCGAGGCTGCGGTGGCCGGGAGCGGCCACTGCACTCCAGTCTGGGCGACAGAGTGAGATTCCGACTCAAAAAAAAAAAAAAAAAAAAATTTGGCCGGGTGTGGTGGCACACACCTGTGGTTCCAGTTACTTGGAAGGCTGAGACTAAAGGATCACCTGAACCCAGTAGGTCAAGGCTGTGATGACCATGAGCACTCCAGCCTGGGAAACAGAATGAGAATGAGACTTTGACTCAAAAAAAAAAAAAAAAAAAGAATCAATACCAATTTTTAAAATAAGAACTGCTAAAAAAAAAAAAAAAAACACCTTAGGGCTGGGATGCAGAGGCTCATGTCTATAATCTCAGCACTTTGGGAGGCTGCTTGAGGTTGGCAGTTCAAGATCAGCCTGAGGAACATATCAAGACCTTGTCTCTACAAAAAAATTTTTAAATAGCTGGGCATGGTGATGTGTGCCTGTAGTCCCAGTTACTCATGAGACTGAGGCAGAAGGACTGCCTGAGCCCAGGATATCAAGACTGTGGTGAGTCATGACTGTGCCACCGTACTCCAGCCTAGGAGACAGAGTGAGACCCCGACTCAAACAACAACAACAAAAAAAACAACTTAGGATTTGCTGCCTAATCACAACAATCAAGATAGAGCAGAGGGACTGCTGTAGGGTTGCTGAGTTGTCTGCTACCCAGTGCGTCCCACACCTGGCACACAGGGCTGGAAATGGGCATGGGATTTGTATTTGTTAATAAACTCTGCCAGTTCTCAACCAGAGATCAGGCTGTTTCATTATCTCCCGTCACAAGAGAAGATTGCTCCTGAAAGGAGGAATTACTATGGCTTTGATGAGAATTTGCCGAGCAAAGTATCCTGCATCCTGCAGGCCCAGGGCAAAAAAGAACGGTCCAGAGGGAACTAAGACCCTCATGACATGGACTTTAAGCCACAGGCTAAGAGACCTAGAGAAGAAAGTATGGAACGTGAATAACAACTGATTCCAACCTGAAGTGCCCACAGAGGGGCTGGCCCTCATACCTCCTAGTACCCTCCTCAGTGTCCCTACCATAGTAGGGTTCGAAGAGTTCACTGGAGGCTGAGTAGAAATCCTCCAGCTTGAAGTCATTAGGGCCCTTCAGGGTCATTCCAAAGCCCTTTGCATGCCACTTCTTCCTCCAGAGCACATACTCTGAGAAGCCACCTGGGCCTGCACAGACGTCAGCAAAGTACAGAAGCTCAGCTTCCCGATCCTTCACCAGCGGCTTCTAGAAGACAAGTGGAAAAAAGGAGAAAAAGGAAAAAATGATGGCTCAATGGGTAATAGAAAGGAGAACAGAGCACACATACTCCAGAGCTCCTACCAGAGCCATAGCACCCAGAAAGTGTATCTTCTAAAATTAGCGCTCTCTAGAGTTGCCCAACCCACCCTCAAAACACCAGAAATACCTATCATACCACCAGACCTAGCTCAGATTCCTAATAAAACCATCTTTGTGGACATCTGACTGTGCATTTTTTTATTTCTGAATGCTTTCCTCACCATATCCTGCCTTTCAAGAGTCCTACTGAATGGAATAGATGCTGTGTGACCTACATTACAGAGAAAACTAGGCACCAAGATACAAAGTCACAAAGTAACCTGTTCACAGTCAGTTTGCAACAAAGCTCAACCAGACTCCTCACCCCCTCCCAGCCACAAGAACCTGCCTTTCCAGATCACAGCCTCCCTTTCCTTCCTCCCCTTCCTCCTTGGAGCTCTTCCCTCCCCGCCAATTAATTTTTTGTTTTGAAATAATTTTAGATTTACAGAAAAGTTGCCAAGATAGTGCAAAGTCCCTGTGCCCTTCACCCAGTTTCTAGTTTTTTTAACACCTTACATTGCCATGGTATTGAAACCAGCCCAATTTCCCCATAGAACTGATGTTTATGAGTTTTTTTGAACAAACATAGAAACTGACCCTCCTGGTCTGAAAACTTGAAACTTACATTTGCCTTATCTGAGTCCCTTCCTTTGGAGACTGATCCTCAAGGCAAGGGTCTGAAACTCACCAGGGCACTGTATCCAGACAACAAGACACCTGTCATGATTGCTATCTTCTCCCCTCCCTAACTGCTGCTTTACATCCTCCTGTCCCCCATAAAAACCCCCAATTTCATTCAGCAGGGAGATGGAGTTGAGACTGAATCTCTCCTTCTCCTTGGATATCATTCAAATAAAAAGCGTTCTTCCCTGGCAATGCTAGTTGTCTGAGCAATTAATTTTCTGTGCAACAAGCAACAAGACCTGAATGAACTGCTGGCATTTTGGTAACAGTATGTTTGTCAAAACTAAGAAACCAACACCGGCATGCTACTATTAACTAAACTCCAAACTTCACTTAGATTTCACTACTGTCCCTTTTCTGTTCTGGAAGCAAACCAAGACACCACATTGCATTCAGTCTCCCTACTTTTGACATTCCCTTCCTTCTCTCCTGCCTTTGCCCAGTGCTAGCCAGGGGACTGGGGCAGGGCACAGATGGAAGCTGACAAGGCAGAGAGGGAGGGAAATGTTGGTGTGTAGCTTCTGGGCAATACTCAGAACACCCACCCACCTCATGACTGACTAAATTAATCTTTGCTTCCATTTTGATGTGATTAGATTTTTGGCTCCTCAAGTACTTTATCTCACCCTCAAATTTATGCTGAACCCAGCACTGGCCCGCCCATATTATATATTTACATGTCTCTTTTATGCAAATGCTAGGGATGCTCTTACTCACATCTGAGCCCTAGACAGTGAATTCTACTCCCTTTCCACAGCAAAGACCATCTGCATTGGTGACAACAAAAGGTTGAGCTCTACAAGTGACTGCAAAGGTCTATGGCTGGCCTGGGACTGTAAAAGACATTCAAGCAGGAAGGGACTGAGGGACATCAGTCTCCCTCTCTACAGGTTTGTCCAGAGTTCTGCAACTGCTAGATAAAGATCAGAAAGCTTTAGCAGAAATAGTTATGTAAAAGAAGTAGGCATACTAATGTTCACAACCTAGTCACTTCTAGGTTTCAAGGGTCTTGCCTCTGATGATAGTTACCTAGCTTTATCAAAACCATGAAAAGTTACTGGAGAAAGTGACTTCAGCTAAAAAAGAAAACTTAATCATCTTGTGACAAGCCCACCTCAGGTATGGTGAGACTTATTAGATCTTTCCCCTCTGCCCCACTACTCCACTCCAGCATTCTTTGTTCCTGATCCATCAACTATTCATATTTTTTAATTATATTCATTTGCACACACAAAAAAGACCTAATGGAATTAGAACATTATATAGCACCTTCAAGTCTGCACAGTGGTGATGAGGCAGGGGTCATGAGTCTAAGCCCTGCACACACTGCAAAGAGGGAAAACATTATCCCTCACCACTGGCCATGCCTTGGTCCCAGACTCCAGCCTCTCTGGGAGAACCACTAGTCCAAAGGAGTCTGGAAGAATGGAGAATGATCAGTGAGAGCATCTCACCTCCGAACAGAGCAGAAATATGGTCTCATGCTGTAATTTCAAGAAGTGTGGCCCTCACAAGCTATGGCCAGGAGGTCCTTGCACAGGAAGGACAGCTGGGGTGCTAAGTTCTGCCACTCACAGCTGTGGAATCTTGGACAAGCACACAACTGAAGTTACTAAGCTTGAGCTTAATGACTCAACTGTCAAGCGGGACTAATGTAGGTATTTCTCAAGGCTGTTATAGTATTAAATAAAGTATCTTATGTCAAAGATATTTCTAAACTGTAAAATATTAAGCAGATGTGATATTATATTCAACTAGATGGACTTCTTCAGAGTAAAAATGTATCCTTTTCCATCTTTTTCTCTTTTCAATGCTGACTACAACAGTACTTCACATTCAGTGGACACTGTAAATGATGTCTAATTTCCTCTAAGATAGGACTGAAATTTAAAGATCTACACTCACTTTTTTTCTGCAATGTTTTACAATGTTTTCTTACTTCAACAACATCCCCAGACACACAAATCTTCACATAATGTAACAATTTATAATATGATTCCATATATTCAGGATCTAAATTTCCCCTTTCCCTTGTCTCTTCCAATTCTTGTTTACAATTCTTTATTTTCCTCCCCTAGTCCCTCTTCTCCTTTCACCACAACCTGCAGCACCAGAGACCTATTTAAAAACTTCAGAGTTTACCCTCTTCACTGTCCCTGTTACTATCTCCCAACCCTTCCAGCTTCAAGTTCTCCTGCTCCTGATCTATAATTTGCCTGATCCAAGACCACTAAGACCCTAGAAAACCTGGGCCTTCAGCCGCAGCAGTGCCCTGGGGCTACAGTCACTCCCTCCTCTGCTGGGGACTGCCCTAGTGTCTCTACTCACCTGAAAACCATTCCAAGTCTACCTGCTTTAGCTGATCACTCTGGTCCTCAGGGGAAAGGGAGATGAAAAAAGAGAAAAGAAAACACTAGGGGCTCCAGAGAAATCACTTTTTATAGTGGAGTATAGAAAAACATTCTGAAAGGGCAATTCTCCATGGCTACTAACAATCAATTCAGGTCAAGAAACTGCCTGAAGCGTTACAAATACGGCTGCCTTTTCCTATGTAACTAACATCTCCACCCTCAACCTGAATGGTACAACCCTGGTGCCTACTTCATTTTCAGCTGAAGATAACAACCAGATACCAGCTGCTGGAGGTATTTGCATTCAAAAGCCAAAAGACGCTGTGACTTCCCATCAGCTTGACAGAGATCCTCTGCCAGGCAGGAATGTAAAGGAAATCATCTAGAGCTCAGAAAAATTAAGTCAACATTATATCAATCTAATTTTCTCAAGATGCTAATTCCATGAGCTCTTTTGTGCTATCTGCTAGTACTGGAACATAGGGAAGAAGACCTGGGAGAGAGAAATGAGTAAAGGCTGGAGGGTCTACATGTCAGTTTTGCCAGCATGGAGGGAAACAGTTAGGTTGGTGGAGCTAAAACATTACAAAACTTGGAAAATAAGTTTCTTAGCCAGTGGATAATCAGGGGGTCTAGTAGAATGAGGATAAGTGAAGCAGAAAGAGGCTTGGGGATAGCTGGCTCCTGGCCCTGTCATTGTCAAAGAAAATGAACTCTCTAGGACTGGGTAAAAATGCTTTGAAACCCTGAAGGGAATTCTAGAATGAAATCTCCTTTTTTTTCCTCTATCACTATGGAGGGTTCTATGTTCAGAGAAATGAGATGCAGCAGAATAGAAAATCATTTTGCTCTTCTACTTCTTGAGAAGGGCCAAAGTCTCATAATTACGATCCTACACAAAGCTTGTTCAAAGAAGCAGAGAAGCAAAGTGGCTCAGTTTGAAATCACATCTCTCAGAGCCAGAACAGATCTTAAGAGCCTTTTGGTTCTACCCTGGCCCTCTGGCAGGTTAGTAGGGCTTATTTCAGAATGAGACAGCTGAGGCCCAAAGAATACATGAATACAAGTGATGCTTCCTGCTTCGTAAGTGCTGTGTCCTTCCCCACCACACTCCAAACACAGACTAGATTTTCAGACTCAATACTGCTTTTAAATAGACCAGTGAAAATGCCCACTGAAATGCCCACATTTCATTCAACACTCAAACCACATATCCCAGGGTACTCCGCTCTCATACCAGAAACAGCACCCAAATCAGGTGATGTCACAGCTTTCTATTTGGAAAAGAAGAGGATTGCTGCAAGGACTGTATTCACCTTTCCACACCACCTCATCCATGGTAGGGAGGAAGACGGCTAAACCTCTCTGGAGGCAAGTGGCCTCCAAACTGCAATGAGCCAGAGAGGCTGTATAAACATCCCAGCCCTGCACCCTCATCAGTTCTCGAATCCACTAGAATGCCCAGATGTAAACACCAGGGGAACAGGGGTCACATAAATCTCATTCAAAGTGATATATCCAGTGCCTGGCACCAAGCGGGGGCTGAAAAGATGTTTTATAAATACAAGAGAGTGGCCCAAGCCCTAATTCAGGCCTCACCTCCCTATTCCCTAGGCCTATAGATGTCACAGCTGCTGATTTTGCCCAGTAATGTCCCTTCTCCACTGCTGCACTTTGAGAGAGCAACAGGAGTTGGGGGCTGGGACTCTGGGACTGAAGCCTTGGAGATAACTGCTTATTAGGGCACTCCTGAGACCACAGGAGCACTGTGGACACTATCTGAGGAGCTCAAAGCAAAATATCTCTGTCACATGAGCAGGAATACTCTCCTAGCATTGAACAAATGGCAACTGAAAAGGCACTGAAGTTTAAGCCCACTTAGCACCATGAATTCAGAAACAGAATCTTGTTCTCACCCCATAAGAGTCTCGAGGATTTGTGAACATGCGATCAAACACAAAATCCATGTTTGCCATCTTCATTGCTGCCCTGCAACAAAGCAAGATAGAAAAATGCAACTCACTGCCAGGTATATGAAAAGCTAGGCTCAAATGAAAAGGTGGAGCAGCGCATGTCAGAGGAGGAGAGGGAGTGTCAGCAAACCTGTTCAGGAAGAAGACTCCTCGGATCATCTCAAAGGGATTGGCCCGAGTCCGAGCTCGCCGCATCTCCTCCCCATCCAGGACATCAAACACACTCTGCCCAGAGAGAATCAGAAACTCCAGATGAGTGTCATTTCATCCAACCCATTATAGATGGAAGAGGATCTTTTTTGGGGGGTAGGAGTCTCACTCTGTCACCCAGGCTGGAGTGCAATGGCACACTCACGGCCACCACAACCTAGACTTGCTGAGCTCAGGCAATCTTTCTGCCTCAGCCTTCCAAGTAGCTGGGACTACAAGCCTGTACCATCACACTCAGCTAATTTTTTGATTTATTATAGAGACGAGGTCTCACCACGTTGCCCAGGCTGGTCTCGAACCCCTAGGCTCAGGGAATCCTCTTGCCTCCACCTCTCAAAGTGCTGGGATAACAGGCGTGAGCCACCGTGGCTGGCTAGGACTGGGTCTTAAGAGCTTGTGGTGCCTGACTCACAACCCTCTGAGGAACTAGGCTCCTGCCACATTTCAGATCTTTAATGACTAGATGCATGGTCCAGACAGACTGCTCAATCACTCTGACACTTAACTACACTCACCTGTAAAACAGTACAAACAACAGATGTAAGCAGCTATCCATGTGGCAAGTGGTTAAGGAATAGCACCTGTTGCTACACACAGAGCCACCTCTGAGCACTGCTAATCCTTATAGCAAATTTACTTCTCTACCCCACAGCAGCAGCAACTTTCCAAGGGATTAAAGTTCCGCTATTAAGGCTTACTTGACTGGGGCTCACTTAGAGGGGGAAACAAACCAAGACCAGTGCTTTCTGAGAGCACCTACCACACAGTAGAGATTCCTTCATCCCTCAAACTCTCCTCACTAGTTTCCCCTCTGGAAAAAGAAACTCTCACATCACCTGAGTTCCAGGCACCTTATGGACATTCCCTACCCTATGCCTGCCAAAAAACAACACCTGTGAGGCTGGACTGAGGCCTTCCTTCTTTTCCAATCCATTTCCTCCTCAGTTTCCCTGGTTCATCTGCCCTGAGGCAATTGTTTCCTGACCCCCAGGCAGGCCAAAGATGTGAAGGGGAGCATAACATTCACTCAGGTGCTTCACGTCCACTCTTTTATTTGATTCTCACAACAACCATAAGAAGTGAGTGTTTCCTTCCTATTTTATAGATGAGGAAACTCAAACCCAGAAAAGTTAAATCAACTGGTCCAAGATCACACAGCAAAAGAGTTGTAAAAGTTGGACTTGAGTCCAGGTCTATCTGATGCTAAAGTATGGTTCCAAAACTTTTGCTACACCAGGCCCCCTCAGGATTACAATAAACAGACCCACTGAACTTAGGGGGATTCTTTCTGGGCTGCTGACCACAGGGACAACACAACACTATCAGGCAGGACAGTAATCAGGAGAAAGGACAACTTGGAGATACGAATCAAGTTATACATCTGATCTCCAGAAAAAGTCGTAACTTCAGCCCTCCCACAACCAACACAAAAGGAGAAATATGAAAGCCCAGCAATCACCTCATGCAAGGTTTTCAAGTCTGGCTGTAACCACAAGGCCTTACCTTGCACTGCAACATACTATGAAGCAGCTCTTCCCCACAAAACTCTGTTTCATCTTCAATAATCATCTTTCTCTACAGGGAGAAGAAAAAAATAAATAATGACCATGTGTGACAGCATTTAGGGAAATGTATGGATAAATTGGGGTTCCGAGTGAGTAGATCAAGAAGGGGCTTGATTCTCTGCCAAGAAACATCAACCCCTGAAGGGTAGAAAAGAAAAAATCCTAAATGCTTCTGGCTATACTCCAGATGGTTGTAAGATAAAGCAGCCCTCTGGGAGCTGTGAGTAGAACACCATATGGACACAAGACTCAAGAATGCTGAGGTTGGAAAAAGCAAACAGGAAGGAACATGGAGACGGAAGGACAGGGAGTGCCTCAAATGTCATAAGTCTGTCCGTCCACCAGGAAACCTCTCACTCTGTGATGAGTATAAATGCATGATACCAGGCACTGACCTGGTAGCATAACAGAAAACAAGGACTCAAAGGGATCGCATAGGGATGTCAAGCCCAACCCCCTGTGTGAGTGAAGTTACCCTAAACTAATGATCCTCAAACTTTGTGGTAAGGTTTTACATTCTTGAAAATTATCATGGATCTCAAAGAGTTTTTGTTTAAGTGGTACAGGTTATAGGTAGATTCTATTATCTAGAATTCTAATAACTCTATTATTAAATATTAAACCTGAGAATATTCTTAAATATTCCTTAATTCAGTTTAAAAGAACAATGTCAACATAAATATTTTTCGTGAAAAAAAGCATTTTAAAAAATTTAATGAGGACAGTAGTACTGTTTTCCATTTTTGCAAATTTCTTCAATACCTGGCTTAATAGGAGGCTAGATTCCCCTCTGCTTTTTTATTTAATCAGTTGTAATATCACATATCATAGCTTCTGGAAAACTCCACTGAATGCTTGTGAGAGAATGAAAGTGAAAAGGGAAAATTACTTTTCAATATCATTAAGAAAATAGCTTTGGAGCCTTCCTTTCACTATTCCCACCCCCGCCCCTGTCTGTCTTCTCCGTGCTGGGAGCAGCTCTCCTGCACAGCCCCTCACCCCCTGAAGATGCACGCCTGCTCCAAGTTCGTCATTACCCCTCCTTGGTCACGAGTACCTCTCAGCTGCTAAGCCGACCACTGACAGCAGCAGTGCTGAAACAACCAGAGACACTGCCAGATGAGAGCCTCAGCAGCTTGGCAGTCTCGATCCCTTACCTTATTGCCCCTAGCTGCAGCTTTCAAACCAGCGCTGTTTCAAGGGACATCGACACAGCAGTCAAGTTCATTGGGGCTGGGGCTGCCACAGTTGGGGTGACTGGCTCTGGGGCTGGGATTGGGACTGTGTTTGGGAGCCTCATCATTGGTTATGCCAGGAACTGAATTCTGCCAACAACCTAAATGACCTTGGAAGTGGATCCTTCCCCAGAATCTTCAGATAAGAGCCCAGCTCAGACACCTCCTTGAGTTTGGCTTTGTGAGACCTGAGACCCTCAACAGAGAATCCAGTCAAGCCTGCCTAAATGTCTGATCTACAGAATAATAAATGGATGCTGTTTTAAACTGCAAAAAAGAAAATAGCTTTGACTCTGTGGACCCCCTGAAAGGATCTCAGAGATACCTCAGGGCCCATATACTTTGACAACTGCTCTCTAGACCACACTGATTTGGTAGCCACCTACTTTATTCTTACAATTTTCCAGAAGGTTCCCTCATACTTTCTGAGGACAGACACAGTGTCTTCTCATCTAGCAGTGGCCAGAATGTACACAAGTATATAGTAAGCCACTCCAAAAGGCACCCATGAGGAAGAGAGAGGTTATACACTTGTCCATCTTAAAGCTTAAGTGATTAGGAGAAAAAATAGTTCCACCTGCCACATCTCCCAAGGACAAATTTATAAAGCTCATGACACACTCTCTTAACAAAGTTTTATTCCTACCAATATGAATGGACAGATTCACATTTTCCTTAAACTGCAAGTATACATACATAACATAGACTTTTCAAGGAAAAGAAAAGTCAGGAGATTGCCAAGAAGTCAGGGTACATTCCTGAAATCCTACCTTTCCCACAACCATCCAATCGCTCATCTCCTGAGTGTCAGGAATTTCAGTGGTACATTCTGGGAACCATGACACCTGTTCACAGGCACTGAGCTATAAACAAAAGAGAGGCAAGTAAGTCAGGTAATGCAGACCCTCAGGACTATGTTAACTCAACAGGATTTCCCCAAAATAGTCAAGAGGGACTGAGACAGACTGAGAAGGGTACAAGTTACTGGGGTCAAAAGTAGTGGTCAGACATGAGAAGTGAGAGCCACAATTCTAAAGCTTAACTTCTAAAGAATACCTCCAGGCCGGGCTCGGTGGCTCAGCCTGTAATCCCAGTGCTTTGGGAGGCCGAGATGAGTGGATTGCCTGAGATCGTGGGTTCGAGACCCACCTGGCAACTTGGTGAGCCCTCATCTCTACAATAAATCAAAAAAATTAGCAGGGCATAGTGGTGTATGCCTGTAGTTCCAGCTACTTGGAAGGCTGAGGTGGAAGGATCGCCAGAGCCCAGCAGATAGAGGCTGCAGTGGCCTGGGAGCAGCAACTGCACTCCAGTCTGGGTGACAGAGCAAGACTCCAACTCAAAAAAAAAAAAAAAAAAAAGAATAGCTCCAATTCTGGTTTGGAGAAACTTCCCAACTTTTAAGGTTTTTTTCATTTATTCCAATATTATTTGATGAATACCTACTAGTGTTAAGCTCTCAGAATGCACAGTTAAATAAGACATACTCCTTAACCCAGGGTTTACAGTCAGAACAGTGGGGACACAGAGAAGGAAACAGACAGCTATCACATACAATGTAAGTCTAAGGCAAAATAATTACATCAGGAGGACTTAACAGCAATGAGTCTCATCTCTTTATGCCTTTCAAAGTGTTATTCACAAAATCACCCAGAAACTGGTAAATAAGATTCATTCTGAGACAGAGCAAAACTGGCATCCCTAATGGCTGCTTCCTCTGAATTTTTCAATTACTTTCCCTATCAGACCAAAAAAGTGGTTCTCATCCTTACTGTACATTAGAGTCACCTGCAGTGCTTTTTAAAAGTACTGATGCCAGCCAGGCGTGGTGGCTTGTCCCTATAATCCCAGCACTTTGGGAGGACGAGGTGAGAGGACTGCCTGAGCCCACAGGGTTTAAGAACAGTCTGGGCAACTTGGCGAGACCTCATTTCTACAATAAAACAAAAAATTAGCCTGGTGTGGTGGCGAGTACCTGTAGTTCCAGCTACTTGAATCACCTGAGCCCAGCAGGTCAAGACTGCAGTGGCCGTGAGCATGCCACTGTCCTCCAGCCTGGGTGGCAGAGTGAGACTTCAATTAAAGAAAAAAAAAAGTTCTGATGCCTAGGCCCCACAACCAGAGTACATGATTCTGTTGATCTGAAGTGAAGACTAGGCAAAAGTAAGTTTTTAAAAGTCCCCAGATGGGCCGGGCTCGGTGGCTCAGCCTGTAATTCCAGTGCTTTGGGAGGCCGAGGTAAGTGGATTGCCTGAACCCGTGGGTTTGAGACCCACCTGGGCAACTTGGTGAGACCTCATCTCTACAATAAATAAAAAACTAGCCAGGCATGGTAGCGCGTGCCTGTAGTTCCAGCTACTTGGAAGGCTGAGGTGGAAGGATCTCCGGAGCCCAGCAGGTCGAGGCTGCGGTGGCCAGGAGCAGCCACTGCACTCCTGTCTGGGTGACAGAGTGAGACTCCAACTCAAAAAAACCCAAAAAATCAAAAAAAGTCCCCAGATGATTTAATTGTGCAGACAGGGTTAAGTACCGCTAGGCTAGAGAAATATGGATTATAAAACCTAAACAGGTGGTTAACCTGCATGGCAGCTTCATATATTGCCACCCTAGCAAGTGTGGAGAAGAGATTCACCATTGCAAATTGAAGCAATGTGATTAAAGGTAATATCACATACTCTGAAAGGCATAAAATGATATCACAATGCAAGGTCTTGAGGGCAAGCCAACCACTATCAACAGAGAAAAAGCTGAAAAGAAAAATTACTGAAGCCTTTTGTCCATAAATCTGGCAGTAAATCATGGCTTCTCCTCCTGGTCAAATCATCATCTTTAAGCATAAATGGTTGTAAATTACAAACTCGAAAAAAAGCTTACATACACTTGAGATGCTCCTTTGGAGATAAAAGGCCATCTCAATCTCCTCATGGAGGTCAGAATATTAAGATTACCTACAGAGTAGACTTTGTCCAGAAGATCAAACCTTATGCTCTACATTCCTGGGCTGCAGCAGTTACTCAGCAATTTCCCTGCAGCAACACCAGGAATGAATAAACCTCCAGTCACCCAGATTCATCTGTGATAAAGAAGTGGCTACCAACGGATAGGTGAACTAAACTCTTACTTACAAAATCTTACTTATGGAGCAACTTTTATAAGAGAAAAAACGAAATACAATACATGGTGACTGGGACAACATCACTCCAAAAAGGAATTCCTATAGCCTGTCTCCATTAAAAACAAATTTTATTGGCAAATTTCAGATTTTGAGTTCAGCAAAGTTAGTTCAAATTCTGCCCCAGTGAAAGGATAGGAACTCTTGTTTTCACACAAATGAAGACATAGAAAACACCTTGGTATTTCTGAAGCTAAAGCCTATACCTAGCAACCAATTACAAGTATTCACCCTGTTCTGCATTGCTATTCTGTTGGTCTCGTCTCCTCACAACTACAAGGCAACAGCAAGACCACCCTGAGAACCCATAGCTCCTGGCTTATCAGAATCTTACTCTGAAGCCTATCAGGCTTTTGTCATGCACAGGGTTATGGGAGTTCTTTCCTAAACCAAAACATCAAGAAGACAAAGTATCAATTTTCCAGAGTTTAGAGGACAGCTGAAGCTCAACTACAGCAAATATGTAGAAGGCTAGACAGTTGTGTTCTATGTTCTTTTATAGTTTCAACGCTGTTATGGTAATGCTCATTATTATTTTTAGGTGTTTTTATTATACCTACTTCAAATCCTTTGTGGAATAAGGTAGGAAATATAAATGAATAAACATAAGATCTCAACATTATCTGTGCCATGAAAAGAGATCATTAGAGTTGCTTTTGGTCTCCAGGGTTAAAACAAACTGGTACCCAAGTAGATAAACAGACTAGAACCACAGTAGAAAAGCTATATGACACAAACAAGTACCTATTTAGAACCTGGAAGGCATAAACCTGTGGAGGTGCAAGGACCTTCTTAGAATGCACCTAATCCTGTTGCTCATACAATGGGAGAGGGGGTGCTCATTTGGCCCACTTGAATCCTTTCACCAGAGAGAACACACTACTTCATGAGGTACCTTAGTCCGCTCGTGGAGAGTTGTACCTATTCACTAAAGTTCTTTATGGGGTCAAACCAGCATCTTCTACCCACTGGTGTTAGTCCTACAAAACAACAAGAGATTCATATCTTATCATATCTCCCCTAGTCTTCTATTTTCCACTCTGGATATCCCTAGTACTTTCCATGTAAGAAACTAGTTCCACCTTGCTCATACTGCCTCCGAAGATTTCTAGTTTGCTAATAACGTTTCTTAAAGTCATGTATCCAAAAACACAAGTGGCTTTCCCATCTCCTCTTCCCCATATCACTCACTTACCTCTGGCTCATCTCGCCAGTCCACGTTTAGCTCCTGGTCAAAACCCCGCAGTGTCAGACCCAAGCCTCTTCGACCTTTCTGATTAGAAGCCTCAACGATGTCCTTCCGACCCTGGTTGAATTTACCCAATCCTTCACCTTCTCTAAAGCCCATCTTGGCCTGAAAAAGAGAAGTAACGGAGCACAATTAATTCAGTCTAACAGATATTTATTTAGCCTCTATCATGTGCCAGACAGCAAGCTAAATCCTGAGAAATACAGATGAGTAAGATCTAAAGTTTATCTTCTAGCCTAATGAAGAAAAGCAGCATAAAAAATAACTGCAGTATAACTGTGGACCCAGTAGCTGTCTATTCTGGAGGTAAATGTCTAGGGCAACCAGAAGTTGCATAAAAGAGAAGGGACCTCATCACTATAATTAAAAGCACCAAGAGTAGATAATGAATCTCATTTGACATTTGTACAACTTACCCTTCCAGCTAATTTGTCTGATTAAGTGAGAAGATTTAGAGTTGATAAAGAGAACATAATTTAAAATGGAGCCACTTCAAGAAGTATCTTGTGCCTTACCCTTATTCAGTCAAAAAGCCGTACTAGCCAAGGAAAATGACGGCCTGTAGAAGTCCACTCAGAAATCAACTGAAAATTCACCTCATGTAAAACTGAGGTATGGAAGGTCCCATAAGATCCTGGCACAAAAATACTTTTTAAAACATCATTAACTGTCTATAAACTCACAATAAACTCTAGAGTTACTGAGCCTAGGTGCATATCCTAAAAATTAGAGACCTGAATCCCAAACCCCACAGACTCCTGCCTAATAAAAGAATTCCAATCCTAAGAAGATCTAATTTCCCCTGGAGGGTCTATATTCCCTTGGAAAGGGGCACTGCCAGCTCAAGAGCTGAATGGAATTCCTACAGTAGCCATAAATACTTCTTCCGGGTCAAAGAAGCTGACTAAATCACAAGCCTCCCCATATTCCACTTCCCCAAAGCTGTGGTTCACAGATTAGAATCCCAACCTATGACTTTAGCAATAGCAGTTCTCATTCTTAAATGAATCCAACAGAAAATGGAGGAATCAATTATAATATCCCTAAAGCTAGACAGAAGGCAAACTTGCATTTCTCTAACCTTTACATGTAAAGATTTTTTGTTTTGCTTTGAAAGTCAGGGTTACACTCTGCCACTCAAGCTTATAGTGCAGTGGCATAATCTAAGTTCACTGCAGACTCAAAAACTCCTGGGTTCAAGCAATCTTCCCGCCTCAGTCTTCCAAGTAGCTAGGACTAAAGGCACATGCCACCACATGCAGCTAATTTTTAATTTTAATTTTTTTTTTGTAGAGATGGAGTCTTGATTATATTGCCCAAGCTAGTCTCGAACTCCTGAGCTCAAGTCAACTTCCTGCCTTGACCTCTCAACATACTAGGATTACAGGTGTGAGCCACCATGCCTGGCCCACATATACATTAAAGTTTGATCAAGAAAGCGAGTGGGTCTTCCAATCTGCCTTCCTTCTCATGATGTATTAGTGGGGGATGAAAGCTGGGGGATGAAAGAGAATCAGATCTTCTTTTGGAAAGAAAATAAATAGAATACTTTCTTTTATTTTAGGTACCTGGTAGTGAACAGAATTCTTTTGAGATCACTCACTACAGTAAAAACTTACAGCGTGAAGTCTCTTTATCCACTGACACATATCCATGTTAGGGAAGTATATTCACATGTGCTTACAGTAAGAATTCATTACTAGGAATACCCAAAGTTGATCCTGTACTGGACAGAACAGGAGATACAGGCCTAAGCAGTCACTTCTCATAGTTGATTCAAATGTGATGGATATCAAGTAGAGGGCCACATTCTCTCTACTAAATTAGAGTAGCTGAGAAGCAGAGGAAAAACTCATGCCCCAACTTTTCTTCTTTTCATACCAATACAAACTGCCCTTCTCTCACTCTGCTGATGGAGCTTTAGAAACCCAAGCCAGCCGGGCTTGGTGGCTCAGCCTGTAATCCTGCGCTTTGGGAGGCTGAGGTGAGTGGATTGCCTGAGCCCGCGGGTTCGAGACCTGCCTGGGCAACTTGGCGAGACCTCATCTCTACAATAAATCAAAAAATCAGCAGGGCGTGGTAGCGCACGCCTGTAGTTCCAGCTACGTGGAAGGCTGAGGCGGAAGGATTGCCGGAGCCCAGCAGGTCGAGGCTGCAATGACCGGAAGCGGCCACTGCACACCAGTCTGGGCAACAGAGTGAGACACCAACTCAAAAAAAAAAAAGAAACCCAAGCCAAGCACTGACATACCATAAGCCTCTGGGAGACGCTACTATACATAGAGTAGCGAGAAGAAGTTCCCTCCACAAGGGATTCTGCTTTGAATGCATCGTCGAAAGAGTCAGAGCTGTGTTGTTTCCCCTCAGTTTCACTGTCAGACCCACTTAGGCTTGTGGTACATACTGAAAAAGAAAAAGGAAAATATTTGGGTGAGTTTATGGCATAAAATAGCCTCTAAAGTCCAAGTTTCACTTATTCAACTAGTGTTCCATACATGCACTGCACACATAAAGTTCATTAAATGACTCATCAGATCTATTCTCTACTTCTTACTAGCTATGTAATCTTGAGCAAATCACTGAAACTTCCTAATGGACTTGACACAATGAGAGTTCAAAAATAAGTTTTTGTCTCCCTATCCTTTCAATTTTCTCCACTACAAAATAGGGATGGTAATACCTACCTCACAAGATTGTTTAAAGATTAAATAAAATAATGTACTTGAAAGTACACATTGTCAAGTATTAAGTACATTTACTGAAGATATGGTTGTTCGTTTTGCTGGTGGTGGTTATTACTTGAATATCACCTTCCAAACATTGATACTTGGTTACATTTTCAACAATTCTATCATCAGACTAACAGTTTCTGATTGTTTAATCTCCTGGTTCTCTTTGCTTTCACAGTCCTTCAAACTTATAAATAAGAGGGTGGGTCCACAGCACAGCCAGGAAAAGAGTCAACTCACAGGGAGAGAACAGGTAGAGGAACTAGAGAGAAGAGGATGGGGAAGGGAAAGGAAAAAAAGGGAAGGAAAAGGAGGAAAAGGGCAAGGAAGGGGAGATGTTCAGGCAGCACCACCACCTGAAGTGGAGAGTAGAAGAGAGGCAGCTAAATGCTCCAATTGGGAGCTGGCAGCCTGGGTGAGCTAAGCCATCATCTTCATTGCCAGCAACCTCATTGTCAAGGAACTTCAAATAAGACCCACCTAAGCCAGAAGTAATGGGTTACCTGTCCCCTAGCCAAGGTGGGAAATATCCTCGATCTGGGTATTCTCTGTGACTGGGTCTTTCCCTCTCTTATAGAGACATATGAATCTATCCACTTAGAAACTACTTTAACCCAATGTGATTTTACTCACAGAATTTCCCAGGAAAACCCACCCAAATGTGGAAATAGACTGTATCTCAAAATGTGGTTAACAATTTATGTACATTCCCGCTGAAAATGGTATAAATCAGGCACAGTGGCTCACACCTGTAATCCCAGTACTTTGGGAGGCCAAGGTAAGAGGACTATTTGAGCCCAGGAACAAAAGATGAGCTTAGACAACATAACAAGACTTCATCTCTACAAAAAATAAATAAAATTAGTCAGTGCACATATCTCATTAATAAGTAACTGTGATTATTTAAGAATAAAATGAGAAAAAAAGTTTTCAATTTATGCATACTACTCTTTCAAATGTGTATTAGTTGCTAGGATATAAATGCTTGTAATTTTGGCCTAAACAGTTAATAAACTAAACAGCTGGGTATTTCTTTTGGCCTATCAACACAGTAAAAAAAAATTAGGGCAGGCCGGGTGCAGTGGCTCAAGCCTGTAATCCTAGCACTTTGGGAGGCCAAGATGAGAGGACTGCCTGAGGTCAGGGGTTCGAGATAAGCCTAGGCAACTTGGTAAGACCTTGTCTCTACAGTAAAAAAAAAAAAAAAAATTAGCTGGGCATGGTGGCATGCACCTGTAGTTCTAGCTACTCAGAAGGCTGAGGCAGAAGGAGTGCCTGAGCCCAGTAGGTCGAGGCTGCAGAGGCCATGAGTATGCCACTGCACTCCAGCCTGAGCAACAGAGTGAGACTCCAACTCAAAAAAAAAAAAAAAATTAGGATAACACTAAGGGTACCAAGAGCCAAGAAAGGCTGAGAACCTCTGCTCCATGTATTGAAACAGACAGATCACCAAGACACGTTGCCAAAAGAACAACAAGACCATATGCATGAGCATGGTATCCTAACTCTTGTGTACTAAAGAGGGAAAATACTAGTATATATTTTTATTTCTTATAATCACATAAAAAGCTTTTGAAATTAAGATACACAAGAAGACCAGTAAAAGTGATTATTCACACATGCAGAGGTTGGTGCATGAGGATAGAATACCAAAATGATTACTTGGAACTAGTGAAAGTGGAAGTGAAATTTGACTTACATTTTTATATTAGAGTTTACACTGGCTATCTTTCAATAAATGTGACTTATGAACCATGTGAATATAATACCTATTAAAATTTAAAATAGGCCAGACTTAGTGGCTCAGTCTGTAATACCAGTACTTTGGGAGGCCAAGGCGAGTAGACTGCCTGAGCCCACGGGTTCGAGACCAGCCCAGGCAACTTGGCCAGACCTCATCTCTACAAAATCTCTACCTCATCTCAAAAATTAGCCAGGCATGGTAGCACGTGCCTGTAGTTCTGGCTACTTGGAAGGTTGAGCGGAAGGATCGCCAGTGCGCAGGAGGTCAAAGCTGCAGTGGCCATGAGCGTGCCACTGCGCTCCAGTCTGGGCGACGGAGTGAGACTCCAACTCAAAAATAAATAAGTAAAATTTAAAATAAATATAAAAATCAGACTTGACAATGTGGCACGATTCCTTTGAGGAAGAAGGGAAATCACTGAGAAAAGAAGCTGATTCAAAGCTTGGCAGCTTGTGGGATGTGTTGAGGAAAGGCACAGAGGGAAGCCATGTAAAACAATTCTTTATAGGCCTGAGATGGTCACTATTCAGGCATTTATAACTTGAAGATTACATCATAATTCCAAAGCCTGTCTGCACTGATCCATTCACTTCCCCACTAGCACACAAACTTGCTAAGGGTCGACATTTGAGAACAACAAAGTCTTCCCCAGCACCTCAAACCTAACTTAGTCTTCCCTCCACTGTGCTCCAGTACTCACACCTTCAGCATAGTACTAATCATACTGCCTCAGGGCCAGTTATTGTTTGCCACATGCAGCCCCTGCTGGATGAGATCACTCCTAGAGACCAGGAACTGTGTCATAGTCAACTTTGTATCATCAATGCCTAGACTGAAGCCTTCCACTTAATGAAATGAATTAAATGCAAACTACAGTAAATTTAAAAATCTGTCAGCCAGGTGTCACCTTCCTGAGGACTTAATGAGTATATGGTTCCTTAAGATATTTCCTGCTGCTGGGCGTGGTGGCTCACGCCTATAATCTCAACACTTTGGGAGGCAGAGGCAAGAGAATTGCCCGAGTCCAGGGGTTCGAGGCCAGTATGGGCAACTTGGCGAGACCTTGTATCTACAATAAATCAAAAAATTAGCCAGGGACAGTGGTGAGTACCTGCAGTTCCAGCTACTTGAAAGGCTGAGGCAGAAGGATCGCCTGAGCCCAGCACGTCAAGGCGGCAGTGGTCATGAGTATGCCACTGCACTCCAGCCTGGGTGACATAGCGAGACTCCAACAACAACAAAAAAGATACTTCTTCTTATAACACCTCTTACAAGTAGTGCAAGATATTCAGGCCTCAAAAGTTTAAAGATGAGGATGGAATATTTATCTTAATAGAAAACTGAGCCCCTCTTGGGCTATGGTTTAGCTTACACTAACCACTCCACCTCCATTAGGTAGAAATATGATATGTCAGAATTCAGAATGCTAATGCCGTTTAATAGATCAGACTACTGTTTTGGTTCAGGAACTGTTCTATAAAAAGTCCAGGTTGTCCACTATACAAAAGTGACAACCCTCAGAGAGCTCAAAAATCTACCATCTAATTTATCTAATAGGATAGATATGCATTTTTAAGGATATAACATTTTATAAAAGAAAGAAAAGAGAGGAGAACATGTGTAAAGAATCAGAATAAACTTAAAATCAAAATTCTAGCTTCTAACCAGTTAAGTAAGGAGAATGTACCTGTATGAGGGGCACAAAATCTGCCCCTTCCCCTATGGTGGCTGTCCAACTCTCTTAATAAGGAGTTGACTTGCTTACATGAACCAATGTGACACACATCAGAGAGTGCCACTCGGAAGGAAAGACCCAGAACATTAACAATGAGTAACCATGGAAACTGAAAGATGAGGTTATATTTATTTTGTTTTGCACTTTCCTCCATTTTCTGCATTTGTGAGAAACAAGTATATATGAGTTTGAAAATTAGGGTAAAAAAATAAAGCTATAAAGAGATTACTATTCCAAGCCTTAGGAAAATGTTGGTTCCCTTCTAAAGAAATCTTTGGGAAGCAGCAGATTGGAGGGAAAAGGCCTCCTGCATGGCTCAGCACTATCCCTGGGCCCTCATTTCCCATGCAGAGAAGAGAGATGCACTCTGCAACAGAGTGCCCACATGCTAAAGAACTGCACCTCCAAAGATGCAGATTCTCTTCACTTAGTTGCTTCCATGCCTTCAACCTGCACTGCTTTGTACAGAAAGAGGTGGTACCTGGAACATGGGCAGCTCCCTAGACACAACCCTGAAGTTTCTTTTGGGTTACATCAGTTGTTATGTCTTTTACCAGCTATCTGGACATTTATAATTATAGCTACAAAAAAGTTTTAAAACCTGATATCTCTCTCAAAGGAGAGCGTGCCCTTGCTCCAGCTCTAGGGAGCTGCCAGGATGTTAGAATTGCGTGAGGACCCGACAATGAGCACTGGAATAGCAAAAATACCATTCCTGGTCATCCAGGGCTCCAGCCATCATTGGATATCAGAGAGAGATTTTTTTGTTTCCTTTAATCTTCATAACATCTTTGCGCAAAAATGACAGTGAGAACCAAATTTGGGTGGAAGGCTCACTAGGCAAACCAGTGGTGTCTCCAGCACCAAACTTTGGCACAAAGTTCTTTCCACTCCATTTCTTCTCCCAAAGTGTCACCTACTGTACACTCTCCTTTCAGGGTTCCAAAAATGAGATTGATGAGAGCTAAAATGTCACCCTGCCAGGCAATTCCTTGTGAGACCAAGAAGTGTACTCAAATAAGTCTTATTTCTCTTTTTTCATGTGGTTTATGAAGCCAATTCTTAGTTTGATATAATTTGAGACAAAGGTCCCTAGATAACTCCTAATGTCCACAGACTGCCACAGCCACTACTTATTCTTATCCCTGGACCTTTGGGGCCACTCTTTTCAGATGAAAAGGAGACAGTTGTCATG